TCGCAGCCTGCAGCTCTCGGCTGCCTAGTTAGCCTCGCCGTTGGCTCGAGCAATCAAAGCTTGAGCAAACGCTGCAAAACTGCGAGAGCGGCGCTAATTTGCAAGCTGTTGATCAATCAACTTCGATCGATCGTAATGACCGTGTAAAGAAGCCACTGCTTATAGTCAGCGGCAGCAGCAGCGCCACAAACCCATAGAGTCAAGGTTGAGCGTTTGTCAGCAGCTGGCTGTATAGATATACCCGGCCTCCTTTTCTCATTCCTCTAGGCCAATCAAGAGGGAAAAATTTGGTGCGAAAATTAAGGGGTGCCGGGTTCCTCGGACAACTATATTTTCAATCTTGTTTTTTTTATTCACGACTCAATCTTGCGAAAGTACGTTTTTTCATTTGATCAGTCACGCTGTGCAATTTTAAATAACAAACAGTAAGATTCAGGTAGTTGACAGTTCAGAAAGCCACGTTTCGTGCCGTTGGGCGACTATTTTCTTTCATTAGTTATTGTCATAGGTATCAATGACTCTGAACACAGTCATTTTTAATATATCGAATATTTATTGCAAAATGAACTTTTTTATATTTTTATTCGTATTTAAAGAAAACTTATGATTATAAGAAAAAGCAGTATGCCTTATGTAGAATGATTTATTAATTTATTGGGGCCGGATGGAAAATTAATGTTCAGCCACTTATGTTCAGCCTTAAACAAAGCAGTTCTTTTTCGTCATTAGCAAACAAGTTTGAAGTTTCTTTTACGATGCATTGATGTCTAATGTAAAACTTCTTATAGTTTCATTTGCAAGGAAGTTTGCGAAAAAAATGTACTTTTAATTAATCGAAGTTGAGTTAGATGTTTTGTTGTTAAATCGCAGTCCTTATAATTATAATAATGAAGAAACAAATTTAACAGCATTCGATATTACAAAAATTATAATTTTGAAATACTTTGCTACGTTTTAAAAAGTATGGTTTTTGTTTTATGAATAACGAAACTCAAAGTGGAGGATTGAAAAAGCCGAAGGGCGACTGCAGCGGTGGGGCATCACGCGCGTTCAAACTGATGCGCTCGCATATTCTAGTTACTAATTAGTAACTCAGTAACTAAAATAATCGCGTAACGACTCAAACTGCAGCTCTTTAAAATGTCTAAAATTTGCATTGGGTGGCCGAAAACGCTTAGGTTAGCCCGAGGAATCCTGGATAGGTTTCGAAGATCTCCGAATTTTTCGCAGAGTCGGCGAGCAAAAGGCACGAGCGGGCTATTTCCAACGCGGTCCGCTGCATCCTCTTACGATTCTTTGTAGCGCCCACGTGGCGCGTCGCCCCAAATAATCATTGCGGCCGAAATAGAATGTCATCTCTGCGGATTTTTGCACTGTTTATTTTGGGTATGTTTGATCGACTGGGAGCGATCGCCCGAAGCTGGCTGGGCGAACGCTTGGCAAGAAAAATAACCGTCTCGCGGGAGCAGCCACGGCGATAGGCTAAGAGCGCGCGCAATCACGGCCATAATTGATATTCGCCGAAGCCTGCCCTCGAGCCTCGATGCTATCTGCGAGCGCGTCGGTCTGCGCAGCAGCCTCTTCGCGCTGCTTAATATGCCAGTGAGAGCTGGCGTTGCCGTGATACGCTTTGCATCTCTCGTCGGAGAGTCCGCGGCGACATTCAGCGAATTCTTTATGCCCGAGATTTAGTGTTTTGGCCGCGTTTCCTTCGCTGTCGGCTTTGTTCGCGGCGCTGATCAATTGACCCGGCGGGCGCAGAGGCGGGCGCAGAGGCGGCAACGCGGCCACGCGAAAGGGAGAGCAGCTCGAGCGGATTCGGAATAAATGACGAGTGCTCGGCGAGTCAGGAGCTCGAGTCGCGCATCGCGGCTCTAATGATGGCCGCGAGAAGCGACCTTCGCTCTGGTCGTTACCACGAAAGGCTGGCGCGTAATGAGCCGCGTCACGGCATCTCTCGATCGGCCCATTACTGCACTTTTGCCGAGGCAATCGAACGGAATCGCGCGAGTTAGGAGCGTTTTTCTGCGGTGCCGTTTTCACGCGACGGCGACGGAAATTTCCCGAAAACAATGATCCATCGGAGCGGACCCGAGTGATTAATCGGCCGAGCGGTTGCCCTCAGGTAGCCTCGCAATCGCTCAATCTGGCGTACTTTATTCGAGCGCTGCTGGACGTTGCGTTCGCGCATGCAGCCCGATAACATCATCGTTGAGTTGCTAATGACAAGCACATGCGCGCAACAACGCTCACTCACTCTCGCCGGCTCTGCTGCGCGCTGTATCGGCTGTTGATCTATACAGAGCCAGCGGCATATGTTTAGGTCATTAATTAGCATCTGGAACCAATTAAAGTAATTACGAATTCGGCAGTAAAATATCGCCGGGCGAACGACACCGGCGAGCCGCTCTCCTCGTTAATCTTGCATCCCATGCGCATTTACAACCCTTCTCGCACTTACCGATCCCATTGTTCGATTCATTTTCGAAATTTCAGCCAAATAGCCGATCGTCACGGCAAACTGTCGCTTTTTATTCGTTACGACGGCGAATAATTGTGCCATCAGTCAGCAAGCTGCTGCCGCTGCGCCGTCGCGACTACGTAACGCGTCAATCGGCCCCGGCCATTTGCCAGATATCATCGTCAGCTTTCGAGCGAGAGAGAGAGAGAGAGAGAGAGAGAGAGAGAGAGAGAGAGAGAGAGAGAGAGCAAGAGAGAGAGAAGGAAAAAAAACGCGAGGCGAAAAATAATACGAGCGCGAGCCGTCGGTAATTCACGCTGCCGTGTGACATCGACTTCCGGCGGACGTCTTTGCGGGAATGAAAAGCAGTAGGCGAAACATGGAAACATGAAAAATCGGTGGACGGGCGCGCAGAGCAATAGCGGCGAACAGCAGCCGTCAATCGACTCGCGTTGCCGGCGCTGCACGTGACAAATATTCGCCGGATGCCAGCAGCGCGCAACGTCTATCGATAGCGAACGACTAGCGAGTCCGGCATTAGGTATAGAGCGCCGGAGTCTTGCATTAGCGCGCGGATATGTATTTGCGCTTCCCGTATCATTTCGTAATTATCGATAACATCGTCAAGGTTTTTTGCAGGAAACAATGGGTCATTACTAGCCGCATTGGTACGATCATTGTCTCTCTCTCTCTCTCACTCGTCGGCGTTTATCGTTCGCTCGCGGACACTGTCTTTTCTGCTCCGTTCTGTTCTGTTTTTTTCCACTTTCAAACCGATCCAATCGTGCTCCTATGATTCACGGCGCCAACTGTGCGTCCTCGGCGGATCGATGTGCGAACGCCATGGAAAGCCCTCGATCGAATCAAACTTTATATACGCAGCCACGGCACGCGAGTCGCTGTCGCAACTTGAATTATGCGGCATTAATTTATTCTTGAATTATTCAGCGTTTTATCAGTTTGCCCTCGCCCTTTTCGCCCCCTTCGCCTCTCTCAGGCGAGATTTCCAAAGGCTGATAAGTGGCCGCGTGTAAATCAATTTCGCGATTAGTCCGGCACAGCAATCGATTGCCTTTATTAAAAGGAAAAAAGAAAGGAAAGGCTCTGCGTTTTTATTCCGGCCGTAAAAGCAATTCTCCGAAATGGTCTGAAATAAAAACGAGGAATAAATTAGCATGCGAATGGCTGCCAAAGTGATTAATACAAAGTGTGTAGTGTCCGAGCGACTTATGGTTACGCCGCTCTCAATTATCATGCACCGATTGGCAATCCCGATAAGATAGCCGCGGCCAGCGAGTCTTGCGGCTCGCGGCAAATTGTCGCGGTTTATCGCGTGCGGATTGGCGGCGCGGAAAGAGAAGGAAAAATAAAAGGAAGAGAAAAGAGGCGAACGAGGAAGGCGAGAATCGCAGCCGATGAGGGAATTAGCATTTATGAATGCGGACGGGCGCATCGGAGCGTCGGCGAGCTGGGCGTCAAGTGCGGAGCAGCGCACGGACCGCGTGGGCGAGGATCGATGGTCGGTTTATCGCGCATTGTCGCGTGCCGGCGAGCCACATCGAGCGCGGCGAAGGCGCGACGCGGACGAGCGCCGATGAGCGCGCGTAAGAGGCCGCGAGCGGGGGGTGGCCTGGCAAAAAAAGCGCGAGGGAGCTACTTTGAATGTAAAAGCATCTATAATTAATATCCGCGGCCGGGCGGAACGGCGAGAGCGAGAGCGAGAGCGAGAGCGAGAGCGAGAGCGAGAGGGTCAGGCTCGAGCAATATTTATTAGATACTTTATGGGGAAAGTTTAAAAAGGTGATCCTCGCCTTTGCAACGTAGACAAAGCTATCTCGGGATTCGGTGGACGGGCGCGCGGGGCGGGGCGGGGCGGCGCGGCGCGGGCAGGCCGGGCCGGGAAAAAAAGCTTGCATAATTATGGCCGCGCGTAGATTTTCAGCGCTCCCTTTCATGTCTCTTCTTTGGCGGCGAAATTGCGATACTTGCAGCCGCCGGGCCGGGCCCGCCAGGGCGGTTTGTCAGCTCTTTCCTCCGCGATGCTCCCTACATCGCCATTGTTTTATTCATTCGGCCGACCGCGCCGATTTATTCCATTGTTTGATTTTCGCGGTACTTGCCCGCAGGCTTTATTGGCCATTTCCATTGCAGAGTGCTTCGTAAATAAAGCGCTATCGATACGGCCCCGCGTACACCGCGTACACCGCGTACACCGCGGACACCGCGGACACCGCGGACACCCCGGACACCCCGGACACCCCGGACACCCCGGACACCCCGGACACCCCGGACACCCCGCGCACCTGCTCGCCACGTTTTCGACGGGCCTTGTCGATGCCTCGTCAGGGAGCGGCGCCGCGCCCGCGAGGCAGCCGGCCACTTGGGCTATTTCGGGCGGCCGAGACGCGCGACGCGCGATGCGCTCCGAATTAGCCCGGCTATCGGCGCGAATCGCCGCCCGTTTGATCCCGGCCGCCGAATCGATCGCGTCCATGCAAATCGTGCGCCGGAGACTGATGGCGCCACCCGCTTGTTTCAGAGGGCTATTTTGGCGGAGAAGGAGAATACCGATCTGAAGGAGCAGCTCGTCGCGGCCAGCGATGGCAATTGCAAGACTGAGGGACAGCAGATGTCCCAAAACGCCCAGAGCCAGGAGCCGAGTCAACAAGACCCCAGCAATCCCAGGCGGACGCCCAACAGCAATCACGAGCAGGAGCTGCAAGCCAAGGACAGAGAGGTCAGTTTTTGCCGGCCCACCGATGGCCCGCTGTCTATTTCCAGCGTGCGCCGGTTCGCCACGCTGCCGAGCTTATCGGCGCCTCGGTGCAGCTTCCACCGCGCCTCCCAAGCCTCTTCCCTTTCCGACTCATTATTTGCTTTTCCGGTTCGCCACTCAAACATTAATATGGAGCTGCGCGCGGATAAATGCGGCGAAGCTCTTTAAAATTTCTCAATGAAGCCCTCGTGAATGTTTTAAAGACTCCGTCAGTCTGTCACATTTATTGAAGCACGGTTATTAGATTATAAAACTATTCTGACCGGCTGCTATTCGGATAGATAGGCAAGTTTGTTCCGCGAATGACAGGCGCGCTAAAGCGGCCGCGCGAGATGCCCGCCTCGGCGAAAAATCAATGATGGCGTTGTCGAGCGCCGATCGTGCCGGCGAGCCCGGCTGTCGTCTCCTTGGCCGCCTCTGCCTGCCTCTGCCTGCCTCTGCCTGCCTCTGCCTCGTCGCTCCTTCCCCGCGAGCGAGCGTCGCTTCGCCGCAGCCGAATCGATGATCGCTAAATATAAGCGCGGCAATCGTTAGCTCCGCCGCGGAGCGGAATAATAAGAAAAACAGCGGAGGCCTCGCGGAACGAGGCTTTTTCGCCGAACGCGCCGCGCGTTCATTAATCTTTGGACCGCGGAGCGCGCTTCTGGCTCTTTATATTTAGCGCGCCGAGACTCGGCCCGTCCGACGCCGAAAACCACGAAAGCTCGGGCTCGCAGGTGCAGGCTCCGCGCGGAGCCGATCGGTGGGGCCGCACGACCGGCGCAGCGCACGGCAGGCTCGTTCTCCGCCGCGGCGGCCGAGCGGAGCCGGAGACCAACCAAGCCGGAGCGGAGTGCAGAAATAGCGCGCAAACGACCAAATAGCGCGAGTCGACACACGAGGAGGGCGGTCTAACGACGTCGTCTCTGCCAATTTAAATTGCGGCGATTCATCCGCGATCGAGCCGGCGCGGCGAGGCCGGCCGCTTAACGAGCGCTCGAACGGCTCTCGGGTGCCAGCGACTCGCCGGGCGTGAAAACGAAATCGACGCGCGATAGCGCCGCCGCTCGAATGGAGCGTCGCCGCGACGACTGGAGAGCAGCTCGAACAAAGCCGAAAACACTTGGAGCGAGCGCGCGCGATAATAGGGGGGGTCGCGCGCCGAGCAGCCAATAGGCCAGCGCGCTCCTTTTCGATCAGCGAGAAATCGTTTGCCAGCCGACAATCGCTGTCGAGCCCTCGCGCTCCGAGGCCCGATAAGCGGCGTTCGATGTAGCCTCGTTGATGGCTTTATTGGAAAGTGCGGGGGCGCGCGCCGCCAGTCGTTAGCCGAGCATTGTTCAAAGAGGCGCTGCGAAGCTGCGAAGCTGCGAAGAGCCTCCCCCGCGCCGCTCGGCTATTGTAGCGAAATTAGCCGCGACGGCGGGCCGCAGGAAGAGGCGAGCTTTTTCGGCCGCCGGAGAAAGCGAGCGGATGAAAGAGAGACGCGCGTCGCTGCCAAGGCAAATACGCAGCCCGAGTGTTTGAAAACACGCTGGCTAATGTGCCGCCGGATCAAGAAATAACTCGCCGGCAGCCTTGCGCTTTGTATTCTCCGCGCGCAAATGAGCTGATCTTTCGCTCGTTGCTCCGCCGCGGCCCCTCCTCGATCGCATTACACAAACATTCTCAAACGATCGTCGACGACGAGCGCGCCTCTCCTGCCGCCTCCTCCTCCTCCTCCTGCCGCTGCTCCCGCCGCGCGCTCCGCTCTCGCCTCTATTTTCTTACGCGAAATATCACGAGGAAAAATAATATTGACTCGCGGCTCGCTGCTCGGATCGCGGATTCGGCCGTATATCAGCGCGCACGGCGGCAGCTCGATCGTCGGCCATGCTGGCGTATCGCCTGCATCGCCGTATCCTCTGCTCCCGCGCTCTCGGTCCGCGATAGCGCAGCCAGATTCCAACTGATAATTCGAGCGCCGATAAGACGACTCGCTCGCGGAGACGATCGTAAATAGAGCGATAAGCAGCCGCCGAACCGAGAAACAAATAAGCGAGCTATTTATTGCCGCTCGATTTGGCAAATATTGCCGCTGGCGGAAAGTGCGCGCAGGCCGCCTGCGGAGACTCCAGTACGCGCACCTATATCGCTCGCGACGATCGGCCGCGAGGCTATTTGTCGCGCGATTCGTCCGCTCCTCGGCCAGCTCCTCTCCGCGCGATTTTCCGCGCGCCGCGGTGTCGCCGCGCAAACATTTGGCCGATGAACAAAAGGTTCGACTATTTTCGAGCCACTCGATTGTGTAAAGCGAGACGAAATAAATGGCTCGTTCAGCGATACACTCGGAACGCGGATCGCTCGGCTAGCTGCGCGGCCAACGGGCTATCCGTCACAGCTCGCGGCAATAAATGCGCAGTTGGCGTTTGCCATCGACGTCGATAAACAATTTGGCGGCAAGCTAGAGAAGCGGCCGCTCTCCCCCGTTCGCTCGGAGACTCGGCGCGCGCCGACCCAGATACTCCGGCCCGTTCGACGATTTTTGGGAACGATCGATCGATGGAACCGCGAGGCGCGCGCGTGCGAGCGCGTCGCCGCCGATCTATTTGTGGAAGCGCGCCGCTCGCCTCTCGGCCCATTGTGTCGAACATTGGACCGAGCGTTCGTCTTGTTCGCCGCCGCTGGCCGCGCCGATTCCCTCGATCGCCCCGACCGTCGTCGACGACGCCAGACCTATAAAAGCGCCTCCGAGTGCGCCAAAGTCGGACGGTTAGCCGGCGATTAAACGGCCAAAGCGGGTCCGCCGGTCGTTCGCGGAAAAGCGCGCGCACTGGCGGGGCAGAGGGAGGCGCGGAGATGCTCGAAAATAACGAGGAGTATTTGCGCTCGCGAGATCTTTTTTTGCGCCGGGCGGCGCGCTCCGAGGGCAAAATTGCTCGCACATATGGGCGCGGAGACTGGGCGGTTGGCGCGCGCGCACCGGCCGAGCCAATATCGTCAGATATTCATTTCGTAAGTTTGAAGTAGAACAAAATATAGAAACTCGCAGGTCGGCAGGCTAACTCCGGCGCGCGCCGGCTGCAACCCCCTTTCGTTTGCAGACATCGCTACCCCATTGGGCGGCTCTCAGCCGCGCACTTTTTCTCTCTGGCTCCACGGGCTTCCTCCGGCGCCAGAGCTCGGCGGCTTTTTTCCCGCTGCTCTCTTTTTATCTGCGTCTCAGTCGAAATTGCGTCTGTTGCGATGACAGCCAGCGTCCGAGCGGGGCTTTTGTAGGGCCTCCTCCGCCTCGGCTGGCCGGCTGTGCCTGGCCTGGCCTGGCCTGGCCTGTCCGCGGGCAATGCGATGCCAATTTGTCCTTGTCCTGGTGATCGCGCGCCTCGGCCGCCGATCGCCAGGCACTACCCGCGAGACGAGCTCGTGACGAGCACGTGAACTAGAGACTTGGCTTTTATTATGTATACTATTCTGTAAGCGCTGAAATCCTACAATCTCTCGTCGTCCTTATCATTTTTTCAACATTTAGTCAATCCTCTCTCGTCACACTTGCGCTTATCACTGATTCACGCAGTCGAAAAATCGAGATTTCGTACACGCGTATGCCGCAATCACATCTTTCTGGAATGCCTTCCTCTTTTGACGAGGCCAAATAGGTCAAACTTATTTTCGTGATGCTTCATTTTATGGGCGCCGAATCTAGTACCTGTCGGCACTGACGACAACTCTGCCTGCCATGCTCTCGCCGAATTCGATTTGGAAGCTTCTTATCTATTTTACCAGCATCGGATCGAGCGCAGCCAGATAAGACGTATTCGGAGAACGACCGAAGGAAGTTTTTCTGCGAACGGTTCGAGCCTCGTTAGCCGTTCGATTCGTCGATAACTCGAAGGCCAGACAGGGCAGGCCGGACTCGCGCTATTTTTTCCGGGCGATTCGTTTTCCCGAAGCTCGAAAAGTCCTCGAGCCGCGGCGCGCCAGAAAGACGGAAAAGGGGCTCGCACTCCATCATCGTCGGCGGCCGAAGCGTTAATTAGAAAATCTGAATAATTAGAAAGTAACTTTCACGGATTCCGCGCACATATCCTGGCCAGGGGCTTTCGACTGTGTTTTTTTTTTTTAATCGCGTCGGCCGCGAGCAGCCGCTGCTGGAAGAAAAAACGAGGAGCGCGGGCGGCGCGCGAGGGGCGGGGGTGGGGCAGGCGGCAGGGAAGACCAGCCCGCAGAGTTTTGTGCATACGTACACGTACGTAGGCAGTCGAAGGGGTTGCTCGTTACCGCGGGCTGGGCTGGGGTGTACTTTCGTAAGCTGGCGCGATTCGCGAACTTTAAAAGCTCTCGAGTTCGCCGGCGAAACGAATCGATCGGCGCGCAGCGAGCGAGCATGGCAGATGCGTATCTGCGCGGCCGTCTAGCGCGGCGCGATTGTATCGGCGGCAGCTTTAAATATATTTCGTTAAGCACGCGAGCGATAAAAACTTGCCCTTCGACTCTCTCTCTCTCTCTCTCTCTCTCTCTCTCTCTCTCTCTCTTCGTTCGTTGTCTTTTAGAGCAAGCTCGCGCGCACCCGCACCCACCCGCACATGCATATGCATGAGTATACTTATGCGCTGTATCGATTGTACCACTTTCCGATGCACTAGCTGCGCGATCGGACTTTAAAATCAGTTTATGAATATAAACATTGCGTGCCGAAATCCAGAGCGGCGCCGCGGCCGCGGCGATAAAAATCTGATAATTGACTTTTCCGCGGGTCGGCCGTCGTGTGTGTGAGTGTGTGTGTAGTGGCTGCGGTCGCAGTCGAAAGTCGTGCATATTGCAGTTTATTGCGATAGCGGCTACAGTGCTTGGCAATCGCAGGTAATATCTGCAAAGACGTCAGAAGGAAAAGGGGGCCGCCGCGATTTGGCCGGCGCGCCGTCAAATGATAGTGCCCCGACCCGATAAATCACGTCGCGCGGCGCTTTTAAAAAGCCAGCCGTCCGCGCGACCTCGTCGCCGGC